ACCGCCGCCTCAGCCGGCCGCGTCGTTGCAGGTGCCATCTTCCTCCCAGAATCCCGGGCGATGCCTGGCCCCTTATACCCTCTGTGGACATGGAAGACACCCCTCTGCTGGACCGCATGTCCGGCCCCGAAGATGAGATGGTGACCGACCTTTTCAGCGCCGAGAGTCAGTTTGTTTCTGAAAACCTCCCTCTGAAGTCCCCGGTGGCCGTGAAGCACGAGGAAGATGAGTTCCACATCCTTAAAGACGCATATCTGGGCGCCGCTGACCCCAGAGAGCCCCTGCTGCACACGTTCAACCCCCCGCTCAGCGCAGACTGCAAGAATAAGGTCAAAGTGGAGCTGCTGGTGGATGAGAACGAAGATGAGGAGGTACTCGGGGAGTATCCGAGCCTCCCCGACCTCAATCCCCTGAAAGACGCTGTTCTGCCCGCGGCCCCGCAGCCACAGGCCTACAACGTCCACTTCCTGTCCTCCCTGCTGACCCCGCACAGGAGTCCGGCTGTCGTGCCCCTGGGTGCCTGGGCCAGGGAAGGAGCCAGCCACCCCGGTGTCCGGGTGATTCCAGTAAGATCCACATCGCACAGTCCCACCGCCCCAGCCCCTACCTCTTCCCAAGTAGAGATGGGAGACTTCCAGCTTATACCAAGATTTCCCTCTACGGGTGTTTTTCCTGTGTCAGTAGCATCCCTGGTTGGACTCACTAACCTTAAACAGGGCACATCCCTTGGTTATGCGAGATGCATCATCCAGCCAAGCCATCCTGCCTGAAGGTGAATTAGGTCCTGGGTCCCTGGTTCAAACCTGGCCAAGCCTGGCCTAGCCAGGCAGACAGCACACAACAGAAGAGGAGGGAAACAACTAGAAAATTTTGAAACTGGCTTTAGGAAAGAAGCCCCAGTGTCTATGAAAACAAATACAAGTGTGAGTTTTCCTGTGCTTGCATTTTGCATTTTCTAAAGATTGTAATTTGCAGCAAGGACTCATTAATACTTGTGTGTGGTGAGCCTTTAAATCAAGTTGTTAGAGCTTCCGTCTGCTAATAAGTGGTTGTTCCTCAATCATATGTAATATAAATCAGAGTCTAGGTAAATTCTGCTAATTGTCAGCCAACTGCCCTCTTTTGCTATATGACTACTAGTAGTTTTCTGCTTTGTTCTTGCTACAACTAAACAAATCAGTTTTAAAGGAAACAAAGTATCCCCAATTGTAATTCAAATTACAATTTGAAATATCTAAATAAGGTTATAACTTGAAATATAGATAAACTTTCTCTGTGTTTTTAAAAGATTTATGCCTAGATACTAGTCTACTGTGCTAAGGGATTTGCCAGTTCGTGATAACTATTACTTGTTTGGGTCTCAGATTTTAGGTTAGATGATCTCCAAATCTGAGTCAACACCCACACTTTGAAAGATAGTTATCTGTTCCATGATTTTATATGAGGTCTTCAGAATGTTACCTGAGAATCACCGTCTTCTTTGCAGGGTTTGTGACCTGCCTCCTGGCCTTTGGGGAGACTCACCTGCACTCTCTCGTCGGCAGTCTGGGTGGGTGGAGATAAAGGAGGGGAGAGATGATGTAAAATGTGGGTTGACTGCTGTTTCCCAACCCTCCTTACATTCTTACCAAAATTTAAGAAGCAGCACCCTGATTTTAAAACACTTATATCTGACGGTAATTTTTTTAACCATCGAGACTTTTTAGTTTTTTAAATTCCATCGATTTTCAGTAATATCATTGGTGTTTTCCCTATTTTTGGTAATTTTGCTGGTGTGTCACTGAATTGCTGCAGAGGATAGCTTAAAAACAGAGTTGGCAAATACACCCTCCCTTCACTGTTTCATGTGAATTATTATCCTACCATCCAGTCAGGAAAGCTCTACTATTTAATTATAAACATTACTATAAATATGTTGTAAGTTACAATATAAATATTACTAAAATGTCAGCAAGGATTTCAAGCTTCTTGAGGAAAAAGCAAAGCAATCAACTGGAACATCTAATACAACCTAATGAGCGCACTCTAAGAACGGTGCTAGAGGATCAGCATTTCAGGCAGTTTTAAGGAAGGTCCCACAAGGCAGCCAGCTCCCTTAGAGCAGGGGCTGTCCAGCAGCTGGAGGGGCAGCTGACCAGCCATGGAACCTTCTCAAGTTACTTATACTGTGTTTCTGAAACAGCAAGAGGGCCACATCAAAATCACATGTCCACATCTCGTGGGCAGATGGTTATGGTCCCCAGGGTCCCCAATCCCCAGGGAGGCGGGTCAGATACTTGTCACCCTATCTTGCTGCCCCATAGAGGGAATAATAGTGCAGAAGAGAGGCACTAAGGGTAAGGGTGCATTTTACTTTAAAAAGGTAACTTCTGTAAAGAATTTTCTAGATTATGCAACTGCAAAATCCAGCTTCCACAATGTGATTTCTAAAATAACATTTGCTTTTTCAGGTTGAAATAAAGGAAGCCGGTGGTTCGATTACGAGTAACAACCTGGAGGAAGCAACTTTTCAGAGCCCTCTTGCCCAGGAGTCCTGTGGCAAGTTCTCGTCATCACAGGAAAGAGAGGATGCCTCTGGCTGCTCCCAGAAGGACTCGAACCCAATGGTAACTATGCCAGAGAAAATGTATCTGACCAACATTATTTTAAGTGTTTACCCCTTCTCATTACTAAGTCAACAGTAATAGTTATTTCAGTCATTGGTTTTCCTTCTGTTTCCTTGTTAAATCAGCATTTTGGTCTCATTTATCAAAAGAGGCTTTCTTATGTTTCTTTCACATCTAAGGTTCTCATTTCTACTTGGTCTTAGTAAATCAAACAAAGATTAGGACATTGCTGTATTCATTAAGGAGAGAAACTACAGGTCACATCGCTCAGTGCATACCAGGAGTGGGACAGCCCCTGAGCTGTGAGGTCAGGCATGTCAGGGGGCGGTGAGGCTACTACAGAGGCTACCTTCCTCCCTGCCTACCTTCAGATTCCTAACACCGACTAACACTTGTGTACGATAGGTAATCAGTAACATCTGCGGCTTATGTGGCAGTTTTACATGCTTGTAACTCCATTTAATCCTCCCATCAACTCTGTAGGGTAGGCATTATTTTTATCTACATCTTACGGATAAGAAAACAAAGATGTTACATAGTCTGCTTATAAGTGGGTCATCGAGGACGCCAGGTTTCAGTGATGAGGACTGGGAAGGAGGGAAGACAGGGAATCTTGCCTGAAGCATCATTTTAGCAAAGAGTTCAAAGAACCAGCAATTGCCTTGCCCTCAGCAGCTGTTCATTTGGGGAAATGAGGCCATAGCTCTAAAGCATATGCTTTAACTAGAAAATACTTTAAAATGGGCTCATCATGAACTGTGGTTTGCTGTGGCATACAGCAGTCCTCACCTCTGTCCATGGTTCTCCTCAGGCCCGTGGGTTCTGAGGGCAGAGTTTGCAAGGATACCTGGACTGCATAGCAGGACAAGAGCTCTTCCAATTACAGCAGACCCCTGAGTAATGTTACCATGCTCCTGAAAAGGGCAGGACAGAGCCCAGAATTGTGCAATGGACAGAGGCCTGGAGAGTCCACTCTGGGTCCTTCTTCCAGTTTGTGCACCTGTGTGGGCGAGATTATAACTGTATCCTCTAAATACAAATAAAATTCCAACCAAACATGAATGTTGGCCTCTTATCCAATGTCAGGGTGATCTGAAGTTTTGACCCAATGATCAGCACCGTGTTAACAAAGGCTCTACGTCTGTAATTTTGGTAACATTGATCCTTTATGCTTATTTGGATTTTCCTGTCTAGGAAACCCAAAGGCAACCTAAAGGCAAAAACCACTGCTTCTCTGGGTGTTTGTGGTTTTACCCTCAGAATTAGAAGCTATGTGCAGGCAGAGACGATGACTTCTCTTGCCTCGTATTCAGGCCGCATTGCCATGGACAGGGCTGCACGCAGTGAGGGCTCCATCTATGCTGGGCTTGATCAGTGTGATTGCCTGATGGACTCACCTGGCTCACTGGCACTGATTTATGGTCGGAATCCAACTAGGTGATCTGAGAGTGCCTGTCAGGCCAAGAGAGATTGATGTGTCTTCTTAGAATTTTCCCATTCTTAAAGTAACCTTTCTAAACTGTACTTTTAGAAAATAAAATCAATGGATATTTTTAAAAACCATACGTGTTAAATTATAACATGTGGAAGTGGTGGAAAAGAACAACTGTTATAAAATTAAAGATTATTCTAAGTATCTGTCCAGCTACAGAGATGGGGTCAGAGGGACAGAGTCCTTCTTATAGTTAACTGAGTCTGAGTGGGGCTGGGGTCCAACACACTCTCTCCATCCCTGTAGACCATGGAGTAATGGGCAGGGGAAGGAAGCTCTGTTCACAGTCACCCCTTCTTTACCCTGAGCCTCATCGGTAAGACACCTGTAGGGAAAACCGTGAGCAGGACCTTCTCTTAGCACCCTGAACACATCTCAGAAAACACCTCCCAAGGGACTTTTTGCCCTGTGATACCTCACAGAGCGTGCTATTGCAGAGTAAGAAATGGAGAACACATCTATAATTTGCCATTTTCCATTAGAACTTAAATTCTGGATTAAAGCTGTTTTCTCAGATTAAAGTTTACTTAGATTCATATTGCTGGATATCTTTTAAAAAATGAAACCTGATCATTATTTTTCATTTTAGGTGATATGTCAGTTGAAAGGGGGTACACAAATGCTGTGTATAGACAATTCTGGCACAAGAGAACTAAAAGCACTTCATTTGGTTCCTCAGTATCAAGACCAAAATAATTATCTACAGTCAGGTACAAAGTAAATTAATAAAAATATATCACATATCATATGGAAGTTGGTAAGTGAGTATTATATTGACTATCTCAAATGCTTGGAGAGCTGTCCTCCACTTCTGCTAGTTGCGGAGAGCCACAAGTGGGTGTGGCTGCAGGTGCCTGGGTTGAAATATCCGCCTTGTCCAGATCTGGTGGCAGGTTGACTGTTCAGATGTGGTGTAAGCTATACACATTTTCATGTCAATGTTTTCATGTAATCAGTGAGAACTATCACTCTGCTTTAATCACCATGAGCTCTGAAATAATCATATCAAATGCTGATTTATCTGCCAATCGTTTACTCAGAAACTCCTTTAAACTGGTGCAATAATAATAGATGACCTGTAAGTACTTGATTATCATTAAATGACTTATGAATGATTAAAGAAAGACTAAATGACATAGTTTTAAGATTGTGTTTACAAAATTAGACACTAATTCTTAAAAACTGGGCATCTCTGTGTGTACTATATACATAATCATGTTATTCTAAAGCTGAGTTAACCAGAATATTTCATTATCAGATGATTTACAGACCTTGCCAACAATTTAAATCAATATTAAATCCAAATGTCATTTCAATGGGCCTTTGGAGTCCAGGGCAAAAAGAGTGTATCTCCTGTTTTATCCTGATGGCCTCTTTATCCAGGGACAGATAACATGCCTTTAAGACATTCACTTTTCTAGGATGCAAAGTGCTCCCGGAAGGCCTTTGCTTTACACCAGCCATGGACCTTCCGGCTCCACTCCCGGTGGGTCAAAGCTACATCTGATCCCCACACAGGCAGAGGAGGGGTCTTTGCTAATTCCCTTCCTCTTGAAAACATGACAACATCCTAATGCGTTTAGACCCATAGAAGGAAGCTTTACTTAGTGTTCTCCAAATCTATTTCCTTGTCATGTCATCATACCCTCCCTCTGCCATGCACACACAGCCCAATCTCCTGTGTTACACAGTGTACACACTAAATACCAGCATTAAATAAGTGCA